AATCCCAAAATGACGACAATCACAGGAGTCGAATGAACCCTTCGGATTAGTAACATGATCTGCGGGCTCCGTAGGGACGGGGCTCCCGCCTGAGATTTCCTCGTGTGTCATTCACAGACAAGGCGCCCGCTTGAGACTTCGTGAAGATTCAGGCTTCAGGAACCCCAAAATGACGACATTACAGGAATCGAATGGCCCCCATCGGATTAGTAGCGTGATCTGCGGGCCCCACGGGGAGGGGGCTCCCGCCGGAGACTTCCTCGCAAGTCACTCGCAGACGAGGCTTCCGCGTGAGAATTCATGAAGGTGTGTGTGTGTGGTGTGTGAGTGTGTAAGTGTATGCGATGACGATGGTCATGGTGGCGTGGTAACGATGGTGACGGTGGTAATGATGATGGTAATGATGATGGTGATGATGATGATGATGATGATGATGATGATGATGATGATGAGTGGTGGCGACGATGTTGATGGTGACGGTGATGGTGATGATGATGATGGTGATGGTGATGATGATGATGATGATGAGTGCCATGATGATGACGATGATGATGACGATGATGATGATGTTGAATGCCATGATGATGATGGTGATGATGATGATGATTATGCTGATGCTGATTATGATGATGATGATGATGATGATGATGATGATGATGATGATGATGATGATGATGATGATGATGATGATGATGATGATGATGATGATGATGATGTTGAGTGATGACGACGATGTTGATGTGTGAGCGTGTGCGACAGAGGGGAGTGAGGCGAGGTCAGGACTGCGCGGGATGTCAGGAGAAAACAAGAACCCCACTTTGGATGTGGGGAGCAAGAACCCCACTTTGGATGTGGGGAAAAACAATGTCGAACGCTCATGGTGGCCTCTGTTGCTATGAATTTACAATCCGCACGGCCCAGGTGGCACTGCTGAGTGTAAAGTCGCATTGGTTCCGTCCCCCCAGGCGGTCGCGTCGACGCGAGTGGCAGCCTGGATCAGAATCTGCTATCCGCCATCCTGCACGGATATAGTTATGGAGATACTGAGGCATCACTCGGGTTAAGTGAGACAGAGAAAATGCGCCAGGAAGACGTTCGAACCAAGCTACTCTCGTGAAAGTCAACTTCCAAAGCGAGTCACGTGCGAAGTACTTGTTAGCGCCCACTCTCCAATATCGCCCTTCCGAGTCGCGCCAGCCCAGACCGCGCTCCAGTCTGCTTCCACACTGAAGGTGGCGAGATCGAAAGGCAGAAAGGAAACGACATTGAAGGGGCGCGCCGACCATTTTTGACGTTATTTTCGTCGAGCGTTGTAGGTCGGGCGTATGTACAGATTTTAGGCTCAGGATGGGCTCGGCCAGGATCGATGCCAGTGTAGAGAGGGCGCCCTCCTGCCCGCGCGTCGATCCTCCCCAGATGGTCCCACAGTTTCCGAAGCGCGTGAAAAGACATCATGGACGAATCGATCTGAAAGCTTGCAAATGGAGAGCGAAGCTCCATTCTGGGTGGTCCCCCTCTGGCTCCCCTCTTCGCCCTCGTCCTCAAAACTGAGAGCAGCAGGGTGCCGTTGCCCTGGCTGCTGGGCTTAGAGGCAGCACTCGTGAAACCGTAGTCACGCCCCGGACCTGAGGGGTCCGGGCACGAAGCGGATGAATTAGCGAGTTCGGTTGCCAGCAACCGATTGTCGTCTTCGCCTTCCGAGAGGGGGGGCAATAGGAAGAGGAGAGGAGGAAGAGGAAATTTGAGACATTCAATCGTAAGTTCTGACGCCCATGGTCGCAGACGGAAGCTGGCAGAGCATTCGGCGAATCGAGAAGAGGGGTGAAGTCCCAAGGCAGGCTGAGAGACGACAGGGGTGACCTGGTGGGCAGCGCGCACAGAGCAGAGACCATGGTAACGTACCTGTCAGACGTGAAATGGCCCCCCTCCGCACCATCGCGACCCCTCCCGCGTGGACAGATGTGCGCGGGATTTGGACCTCCCAGATGAAGACTTCATTGCGGCCGAGCTGCGCGCCGTGCTCGGCAATCTACGAGTGGGGACAGCAGACGGAGCAGAAAACATCCCGCCCGATTTCTGAAAAGCCTTTCGCTGCAATGATGATGCGTGTGCTGCTCTCTGTGCGCGTGGCAGCAGAAACGGGTGCCGCAGCCGTGGCGGCAGAGTAGCATCATCGCAATTTACAAGAAGGGGGACGAGTCTCTGCCGGCCAATTATAGGCCCATCTCCGTGCTGGCCGTGAGCTACAAGCTCCTGGCAAGTCTCTTGCTGAACAAGATTCCAGATGGTGGTGCCGAGGAACGCCTTCAGCCAAGCCAGTGCGGATTCCCAAAGAAGCGGGGCGGGAGCGACGCCGTCTTCATAATGCATAGTTACATCGAACAAGCGTGGGCCGGAGAAGCCCGGAAAGTTCTGGCCGTCATGCGCGATTGGTCGAAGGCGTTCGTCCAGGTGGGCCCCGCCGCGCTGCTGATGGCTGTTGCTCGGTTTGGCCGAAACGACCCGTGCGTCAAGATTATTGCTGCCATGAATGATGGTCGCATGTTTGAGGTGAAAGACGAGCATGGCTGCAGCAAGCGGCGCGCGCAGTCTTCCGGCATCGCGCAAGGTTGCCTCTTGAGCCCGTGCCTGTTCATCATAATGTTGGGCGCGCTGATGGGGGATCTTGAACAAGACGATAATTCGCAGTTCGGACGCGCGCGAGCTGATATTTTCAATGCCGACGTGGCGTGCGCTGACGACGCGGCGCCCGTGTCGAACGACATCGACAGGCTGCAGTTTTTCCTGGACAGGCTGATATCCATGGTTCGCGTGTACGCACTCGAGCCCAACAGGGACAGGACCGCACACGTGCGCATCGGGCACGATATGGACATCCACGCGCCGCAGGGCATGCCGGTCTAGATGGTAATGTCGGCGGTCTACCTGGGCAGCCTCTTCGGGGCCGACGGGAAAAAAGTGGCCTCGGTCGCCCGCCGAAGCCCGTGCGTCTTTCGATGCGCTGCGAGCCATTTGGAGGCATGCCAACATAAGCAGGGCCAGACAGGTGAACTTGTTCAACGCCTGCGACGTATCCAGACTTACGTACATCCTCGAAACACTTTGTCTGCACATGGCAGGCCGAGTCAAGATCGACCCTTTTCAAGCACAGCGTTGACGTAATTTTCGAGCGTTGCGCACTCCATGATTTCACATGTTAGCAACGAAGACGTGCGAGGCAAAGCAAACCAGAAATCTTCGAACCAGCAGGTGCTTGCCAAGAAATTGGTGCACTACGGAGAGCTGTCCGCCATGCCCGGCGAGTCGCTGCCGCGCCAGACTGTTTTCCAGGTTGGGAATTCGCGTCTCCGCGACCCCGGGAAACGCCGCAGAGGGCGTCCCAGATTACAGTGGTTATCGGTAATTCGCGCACGCGTTCTGCCAATTGCAACATGCATGCGCGGCGGGGCCCTGCGCCACGCAGAGGCCGCCCGACAAGCGCTCGGACAAGGCATAGTCAATCGCCAAGCATAGAAATAATAACTGTTGAGGTACTGCTCGAATGAATGTCCAAACCAGCGAGGCGTCTTGGGGTACAAAGTGTATAACTTGTTCTAGGGAGTGAGTTTGAATCAATTCGTCGTTGGCCCCAGGTCCCCCGTCAACCTGCCCTCCTGGTGGTGTCGTCGTCGCCCGTTGCCCCCTCGTCCGCTTTCTTGCGTCGCCTTTCTGCCTGCTCCTCCTCCTGCTCGTCCCTCGGGCGGTCGCCCGGGCTTCGCCCGACGGACGCTCCACTGTGCCAGCACAACACTGCGTGCGGCAACTTCTTGGGCAACCGCCCAGAAAACAACTGCTGCGTGCGACGGATCCATGCCTTGGGCCCCAAAGACTCGCGAGATGCGACACGGTCCAGGGCCGCAGCGCGTAGCAAGGGCCTCCTCCAGTGGAGAGCAGGCGTGCCAATTGAATTTTTCACGGCGCAACGGCCGTGGCATGCCGCATCGCTGTTTCTTGGGGTTCCTGGGAGAGTTGGCCGCAGGGTTCGTTGGGAGTTTCTTCGGGCTTCTCGGGAGCCTGGTGGCGGTCTTCGGGCTCATCGTGGAAGGCCTCGCGGTCGCTCGGGCGGCTTTCGGGGCATTTTCGGAGGGCGGGGCGGCCCATAGCCAGCCCTGAGGCTGCCCAGTGCTGGCCACGAGCCTGTCTCGGGACAGGCTCTGGCCGTCGCTGGGGCCGTCTTGCGGTGCGCCATCTCGGGGCGGCTTTGGGCCGCTTGGGGTCTCCTGAAGGCCGCTTCGAGGGTCTCTTCGGGATTCCTTGCGGCGCCCTGTGGAGTGCAATGAGGGGGGGGGCAGAATGGAGGAGAGGGCGGAGGGAGGGAGAAGGGGAATGGAGACGGGGACCTAAGAGGTTCAAGGATCTTCGAACTTGAGGCCTTCGCCGCTGGAGTGGGGCAAGCAAAATCTCAATCCAGGGCGGGTGAACCTTTGTAACTCAGGTCCGACCTGGGGTCGATGTCGATATCGGCTTCGGCTGGTTCTATCCGATTCGATTTTCATATTCTGTTCATCCGATGTGGCCCGATGTTTGCATGGCGTTGCAGTGCGTCTTGGCGCGGCCGATTCAAATCATGTACAATTCCGTACTGGAGCAGCCCGATCCGAAAAACAATTCGACTCGATCCGATCTCTTGATTCGATGTTGACAGGTGTTGCTCCATAATTGGTTTCGGTTGTGGACCTTCGGGGGTCCAGCCCACATCCTCTGCTCTGGGCGGCAGTTGTGCCCCGCATGATCGAATTTTCATTTGGGATGTCGAACTCCCATCTTGGATCGAAGAAACGTCAGGCATGGATGCAGAAACGCCTCCAGAACGAAGGTCGAACATCCATTAAGAATGTTTCCTTTATCCTCTGAGGAGGAAGTCCCGACCTCCACACCCCGCCGCGGTTGCCTCCCTCCCCACTCTGGAGACTGAAGCGTGGATCGGCCGCAGGCGTTTCGGGCCCTCCTGCCGTGGCCAGGTCCCCCGGCGGCCGCGCAAGAAGGCGAAGGCGAAGGCGCGGAAGCGGGCGCGCCCCTAGGCAGCCCCTGGTGCGCCTCGCAGGCGCGGCCGCGCTGGCCGGCCCCCCCCCCCAAAACAGAATCTCGGGAAACAAATCATGGCATGAGCATTGACAAATCGGAGGCCCGCGCGGCTTTTTTGGATCTGCGCTAGTAGACCCCCCTGCTTTGCGCGCGGAAGTCGCCAGGGGCGGCGCCAGAGGCGCCGCAGGGGGATCAGCGCCGATCCAAGACATCCGCGCTGAACTCCGAACGTGTCCGTTTGTGGCAAGGATTCGTTCCCCGAGAGTCGTCTCCCAGGGTGTCCGCTGCTCGGTTCGGCCCGCCGCTTTGCGGTTCGCGGCGCTCGGTCGGCTCGGTCGGGTCGGCCGCGCCGCCGAGCGCCACTCCAGACGGCGGCTCGGTTCAGTATCGCTTGACCCACCCCACTACCAAAGTTGGAGGTAGGCCCCTCGAAACCCGAAGGGAACAGCTTGTACGCCCATCCAGGGATGTACATCGGCCACGAGGGCCCAGGCCACGCCAGTGGGGGTAGGGATCGGTGAAACGATGCTCACCGGTAGGGCTTCGGGTCTGGTGCCGCCGCGGGCGTCTGTCTCCGCTCTCCGGCTGGCGTCGGAGTCTTCGGCCGTTTTCGGATTGGTCTCGCGCGCTGTCGGGCGCAGTAGGCTCCTAAAGGGCGGAGGTACAGTCAGCGGGGCAACCTCCAGAACAGGGCTTCGACCACCACTACGGATATTTTGTTTTTTTTGTTCTGGAGAGTTGCTCCTTCTTCCTGAATGTTCCACGTGGTTGTTTGACATGTTCATCGATGTTTCCAACAACTTGTTCCAACATCAGGATTCAAACAGCTGGTTGGAGTAATTTAATTGAAGGCGGCATGTATCGTCTGCACTCTCCGCTCGAGCCGGCGGCTGCCTCACCCCCAATATATTCGGCAGAAGCGCCGACCTCGTCTGCCTGAGATTCCTGGTCGACCGCGCGCCGTCTCGCATCGGGGCACTTCGATCCCGTGGTAGCTCGCGCAAGCATGTTGGGTTCTGCCCGCCTCTGCAGCCCGCCGGGCAGGCGAACGCAGGCCACAGCAGGGGGGGGGGGGATACTCCAGGGGCCAAGGCTTAAGTCGGGCCTGTCCCTCTACAGGGGGAATATTCAGAAATAGTGAAAAACTAGTCTGGGAACTATTTTTTGAGTATTTTGGGGCATTTGTCTGTGTATGTTTCGAGTATTTACCTAACAGCTTTTGCTGATAGGTTTCTAGTGGGGTCAAAAGAGAGCAGCAGATGACTCCACAGGGGGGTCTGGGCGGCATCCGGGGAGCTGTGTCCGAACTCGTGTCCGAACTCGTTTTTCGCAAACAGTCACACACTTCGTGCTCTTCGACCTCCCAGAACTCCATTCCCGGGCCACATTTTGAATGCCCATTCCCGGGCCCACATTCTGATGCCCGGAGCCAACTGTAGGCCACTTCGTGCTCTTCGACTTCCCAGAACTCCATTCCCGGGCCACATTTTGGATGCCCGGAGCCAACTGTAGGCCACTTCGTGCTCTTCGAGTTCCCAGAACTCCATTCCCGGGCCACATTTTGAATGCCCGGAGCCAACTGTAGGCCACTTCGTGCTCTTCGAGTTCCCAGAACTCCATTCCTGGGCCATGATTTTGAATGCCCGGAGCCAACTGTAGGCCACTTCGTGTCTTCGAGTTCCCAGAACTCCATTCCTGGGCCACATTTTGAATGCTGAGGCAGGCTGAGGCTGAGGCCAGGCAGGCTGAGGCAGGCTGAGGCTGAGGCCGAGGCTGAAGGCAGACTGAGGCTGAGGCTGAAGCAGCTGAGGCTGAGGCTGAGGCTGAGGCTGAGGCAGGCTGAGGCTGAGGCAGGCAGGCTGAGGCTGAGGCAGGCTGAGGCTGAGGCTGAGGCTGAGGCAGGCTGATGCTGAGGCAGGCTGAGGCTGAGGCTGAGGCCGAGGCTGAGGGCAGACTGAGGCTGAGGCTGAAGCAGGCTGAGGCTGAGGCTGAGGCAGGCTGAGGCTAGGCTGAGGCAGGCTGAGGCTGAGGCAGGCTGAGGCTGAGGCTGAGGCATGCAGGCTGAGGCTGAGGCAGGCGGAGGCTGAGGCCGAGGCTGAAGGCAGACTGAGGCTGAAGCAGGCTGAGGCTGAGGCTGAGGCTGAGGCTGAGGCTGAGGCAGGCTGATGCTGAGGCAGGCTGAGGCTGAGGCTGAGGCTGATGCAGGCTGAGGCTGAGGCAGGCTGAGGCTGAGGCCGAGGCTGAAGGCAGACTGAGGCTGAGGCTGAAGCAGGCTGAGGCTGAGGCTGAGGCAGGCTGAGGCTGAGGCAGGCTGAGGCTGAGGCTGAGGCTGAGGCTGAGGCTGAGCAGGCTGAGGCTGAGGCAGGCTGAGGCTGAGGAGGCAGACTGAGGCTGAGGCTGAAGCAGCTGAGGCTGAGGCTGAGCAGGCTGAGGCTGAGGCTGAGGCAGGCTGATGCTGAGGCAGGCTGAGGCTGAGGCTGAGGCTGATGCTGAGGCTGAGGCAGGCTGAGGCTGAGGCCGAGGCTGAAGGCAGACTGAGGCTGAGGCTGAAGCAGGCTGAGGCTGGCTGAGGCTGAGGCTGAGGCAGGCTGAGGCTGAGGCTGAGGCAGGCTGATGCTGAGGCAGGCTGAGGCTGAGGCTGAGGCTGATGCAGGCTGAGGCTGAGGCAGGCTGAGGCTGAGGCGAGGCTGAAGGCAGACTGAGGCTGAGGCTGAAGCAGGCTGAGGCTGAGGCTGAGGCAGGCTGAGGCTGAGGCAGGCTGAGGCAGAGGCTGAGGCAGGCTGAGGCTGAGGCTGTGACTGCGACTGCCGTTGCCACTGCGACTGTCATCGCGAATGCGACTACGACTGCGAGAACAGCAGAATTCTACAACTGGATTCTCTCCGAATCTTAAGGGGAATGCTTCCAGATGTGCTCCTACACATCGCTGTTAGGTTGCTTTGCCGGGATAATTTTAATTTTTCGTCCACAATCCCCCTGTAGGGGGACACGCCCGACTTAAGCCAAGGCTCTCGTCCTCAAAGCGGGGGGGACCCGGGTCACCCGTGGGGCCGCGACGATGGCCGCGCTGAGCCCTCCGCGGGCTGGGCAAGAGAGGAGTCACCCTTCACAATCAGGGGGGCTGACGCGAGGGCGCGAAGGCAAGCGCGCGCGCGGCGATCCAGAGGTCTCTGGAGGCCTGCGGAGGTCCCCAGAGGCCTCCGCAGGCCGCCGGAGGCCCCGGAGGCCCCAGAGATGCCGGAAGCCAGAGGATCCCAGGCCTGAGCAGCGGAGGCCAGGGCTCCATCCCGTCACGTTTTTGTTCGTTCCTGGTGGGGCGTGTCGGGTCAGCCGGGGGGCATTGTCACTTGGCGCAGCCAAGATTCATCATCACCACCGCCACAGAGGAGACTCCATCAGAGCTCGGACAGCGATAGTCTATCCCCAGGGCGCCGAAGTTGCGTCCCGTCGATCTTCGATCCTCGGGGCTTCTGGCAAATCCCCGCAGAGACTTCAACAGATACACACGCGAGAGCCCTCGGCCAGCCCCGTGGCCTCCAGCCATCCCTCGGCGCCTCAGGCCAGCACGCTCCACGGCCTCCCGGCCAGCCCTCGTCCTGGGCGGGCCCTCGGGGGAGACCCGAGCGCGAAGCTCTCCGACCTCCTCGGATCCCCGATGTTTTGATTCTTTCTATGCGGGCTCCCCGGGCCTCTGGACCCCTTCCCGGGGACAGGTTTGCTTTCCCGGATCTTTGTTTGACGGTCCGGGGCCCATCGAGGGCCCCCAGATGCCGACAACGGTGAAAAATGTCCGTCTGGGCATGTTGGAGGTTTGGGCTGTGCGATCCCTGCGCCCCCGGCCAGCTGCAGGCGCAGCCGCCTGCTCGCCGCGCGCGTCTGCCTCCCATCGGTGGCCCGCCGTCGCCGCGTCGGCCGACGCCCCGAGCCGGCGTCGCAGCGGGGACGCGCGGGCGCCTGCCGCGGCCGCACGGCGCTTGCCGCCGCCGCTTGGCACCGCCGCCGAAGCGACCCGCGAGGGGCGCCGCGGCTGCTGGCGCTCTGGTGCGCTTCGGCGCCCGCGGCCGCCGTGGCCGCCGCGGCCGCGCCCTCGCGAGGAGCGCCGCCCGCGTCGGAAAAGTGGGCGCATCGCGCGCTGGCGGGGAGGAGGAGGAGGAGGAGGAGGAGGAGGAGGAGGAGGAGGAGGAGGAGGAGGAGGAGGAGGAGGAGGAGGAGGAGGAGCGCGGGGATGAGCATGAGCTGTAACCGAAGTCCTTACTCATGAAGCGTGGCACTGCATCATTGGGGGTGGAGAGGATGGCTGGCAGCGTGGCACAGAGTCTGTTTTCATCTGCGAAGGTGCTCATGGAGTCGTTGTGCGGCAACTCGTTCCTACTGTTGATTTCACTGTTGATTTCCATAGGGCGGAGGACAGCGGCATGCGGCATGGGCGTGCAGCCATGGGCAGCGCCGGCAGGAAATGCGGAGGGCCACAGGCAGAAGGTACTGGTAATGCAGAGGTCGAGCTTATCGTTCCTAGCTGTGCCTGCCTTGAACGAATGTTACTTCGACGCTACGCTTGGACGAATTCACCACGGAGATAATAGCGTTCGTGGAAGTGCGGATCGAGTGTGCCTCAACGAACGAAGACGAATCACGGTATACGAGATCTATTTGCTCGTCCTCTAAGTGTCGCAATCCTAATGTCCATAGGTGTACGTAGATTGTAAGTGAATGTGTTGTGCACGTGTAGTTGGGAGAAGGTGAGGCCTTGGTGTGTCTAGGAGTTTGTTTGTGTGCCGTTGCTGGATATGTCCGCTGATAGTTTCTCACTCAGGATGGTCACGCGTGGCCAAGCATTACCCCAGCGGACACAGTCAAGGATACATGCATGAGCGCATGGAGGATGATTTTGTGGGGCAGGATGCAGGCGTGCGAATTGCTAGATGCAGAATCCAAGACGCGTCTTTCGCAGAGGCAACGTAGGGGGGATAGGCTCAGGGGGGATACATCGACCACCAATTGCCTACTCATCCCCGATAAGGGCCTGATAGACCCCCCCCTCCCCCCACGTGGGGGTTCCCCCTCGGGGACCTATCCAGGATCTATCCGCGATGTATCGCCGAGTCCAGGTCGATGCCCCCCCCCCATGATCCACTCTCCCGTTACGTTGCCCTTCATTTTCAGTGGCATTATGCGTCGCGAGAGCGGCCAGGTTTACGCTCTTGATCGCGACGGTGTCGCCAGCAAAGAGGCACTTTGACGAGACGGCCAACACTCTGTTCTGCTTTTGCGGGTACAGAATCCCCCACACACCCAAGAAGCTCATCAAGTGGAGGAGCGACGGCGTGAGTCGACAGCGACGCGTTGGGAGGATGTGGTTCTGCCGTGATCGGGTCAATTATCAGCGGACAGGTATATGTCTTCGAAGCGAGCGAACGATATAACAAGCAAGACAGGCGCGTATGGCGCAGCACAGTCTCCCCTTCTATCGAGGATGGTTCAAAGCCGACTTGGTCAAAGCCCACAGTCAGGGCGCAGTCGTTCACGAGGCTACCCAGCACCCCCCGTCAAGATTTATTTGACGCGGCTGACCCCCTCGGAAAAATCCCCCCCCACACCCCTCTCCCGTGCTGCGATGCAACAAGATGACGCCATGGCTCAGCTTTCCCGAGGACGGGGGGCGCAGCTTTCCCGAGGACGGCCGCCGCGCAGAGCTCCTACTGGCAGGTGTGGTGGCATCCTCTCCTCTCCAGCCCGTGCTGGCCCCCCCTCTTGCAGGCCGACGCCGCTGGCCACGTGCACGTCCTGGGGCGCCCTGCGCCCGCACCCTGCCTCCCTGCTGCGCGTGCGGGTGTGCTGGCTCTGGCGCCTCGGCTCTGCGCTTACCCCGATGTCGCCCTGCAGTTCGTCTGGTCTCTGCCGCTCGGCGGCCGGCCACGCCCGACCTGACGTCAGCCCGAGGCTTCGGGCTTCCTCCGCTCCTGCACGAAGCGGCCAATATGCTTGAGCGTGCGTAGCCCGTTCTTGTGCCCTCGGGCCCACCGACTGCATCCACCGGCGCGCTGGAGGAGACACACACATGTATGTTTGTGTGTTTGTCTGTGCTGGTTAAGCTCAGCCATGCGGGCTTGGCGTGGGGGGGAGACAGGTCCCGAGCGAAGCCCCCGGGGCTTCCCCTGGGCCCAGCGTTCTTCTCTGGCGGCCCAGCGGGGCACGCGAAGGGCCCTGCTGGTTCCGACAACGGCGAAACGGCTCATGGTTTCCAGGAGCACAGCGCACCAGGATGAACGCTGGCGGCCCTTGGTCTGCGGCTGCTTCCGTGGCCGTATGCTCCGCCAGACCCCTCCCCCCGAGGCCCAGGCAGCAGCTCCGCACCCTGCCTCCTCCTCCTCCTCCTCTTCCTCCTCCTCCTCTTCTTCCATCTCCTTTCCTTGCAAGTAACTCCCCCCTGCCGCACCCCCAGACCCTTCGGCAGGACGGGCCAGGCGTTTCGCTTAGATTTCTTCACCATCTATGACCAGGAAGCGTGACATTTGCAACAGTTTCACGGACAGAGGGCGTGTGGTTTTCAAAATGTGGTTATCGCTTTAGCGCAGCGCACACTCGTCTTAAAAGTTCGCAGCAGCTCCATCGATGGAGGGCCTTTCCTTTCCAACATGTGGTTCTTGCCCTTGCGCCGCGCACATCGTTGTTTAATTCAATACGCGTTGCAGCTTGAAGGATTCGTATGGACGAAATCCCAGGACTGGCGTTCTGGAGCCATATCGCACTGTCAGGATGCAGCGGTGGTCTAGCACGCACGATTTAGACATGTCAGAACGCAACAACCAATGGACGAAATCCCAGGACTGGCGTTCTGGAGCCATATCGCACTGTCAGGACGCAGCGGTGGTCTAGCACGCACGATTTAGACATGTCAGAACGCAACAACCACGTTGATTCGCGGCGCTGAAGTCCCAGGGATTGTGTTCTGGCACGATTCAGGGTTCTCAGACGGTTGTCTTCCAATGGAGCACTTCCCACAATGAAAACCAGTCTTTGTAGGGACCTGTGAAGAGGGAACTTGGAGGGAGGGATTATTGCAACATCGTTGACGCGTCTTGGGTTTACCTTGGTCCTCGTCGTCGTCGTCGTCCTCCTCCTCCTCATTTTCCCCCTCTTCCTGTGCAGTTTTCAGAACAGGGAGCAATGAACGAAATGGGGGCGGCCGCACGGATTCTGCCGCCGTATCCGCTCAAATTGGCACCCCCCATACCTCGAGGAGAAGGGCGGTTCATGCAAGCCGCGACTCGCGCGTCCGTGGCCGAGGTGGTTCGGGGGCTGTCTACGGGGTCGGTGCTGCGGGCACCATCGGCTCCCTGCCCACCGTGCAGTTGCGCGCCCCTGCTCAGCTGCCCCGTCTGTCCCGCGACTGCCGCCTCGAGTGCGGCCCGGCGTGGTCAGCGTGCCGGGGCCGGTGCCCCTCAACTACCTGGTCATCATCCACCTCCTGGTGGCCGTCATCGTCTGCCTCATCGGCCTCGTCGGTGGGGCCTGTTGATTGGGGTGTTGGGCTGGGGTCGGCGCGGCCGCGGCCTCCCCTGCCGCCAGGGCCCGCCGTGGCGCTTCGTAGGAGGAGAACTTCATCCCGGGAGGTGACATGTTGCGGAGGGGTCGGTTCCCCCACGGCATCATCGGCGGCGGCACGGCCCTCGCTGCGGGGGGCCGCGTCTACCGTTTCCGAAGGGCTCCCCTCTTGGCGGCGACAGGTGTGGTCTCCCGAGATGCGGCTGCCGTCCGGCCGGGTTTCCCTGCCCCCGGCGCGCCGCTGCCGCCCAACATTGGAGGCGGCGCGGCGGCCTCGCGGGCTTTGTGGCAAGGCCTGGCGGGCCTGACGCGGGCCCTGGCCCCGCGGGAGCCCTGCCATGTTCTGGCGCCTGGCGCTGGCGGTGTCCTGGCGGGTGGAGGCGACGGCCTCGTGGCTGGCGCCCTGGTGCCAGCGGCTGCCGGCGCGCTTGCCGGCGCCCCGGTGCCCCCGACACTGGCGCCGGCGGCCCCCGCAGCGCCCGCGGCGCCCGCGGCCGCGCTTGCGGCGCCCGGCCCTGACGGCGCAGTTGGTCTGCTTGCAGGGCCGCCCAACGACGCGAAGGTCCTGGGCGTCACTGCGGGCGCGCTCGGTCAGCGCCAGAACTGCCGGGGCGCGGCGGGAGGCTTGGCCCAGAACGTTCACCCCGATTGGCCCGTCAGGGGCCCCAGAATGGCGCGGTTGGTCTGCTGCGCTTCCAGCTGGGCAGCGGCGGTTCACCGATGGCCCGCCGCAGCTTTGGGCGTTCCAGGAGTGCCAGATCACGAACACGCTAGCCGCCCCTTGGAGACGCAGGCATGCCACGACCAGGTGAACGCGCCAGGTTTTGGCCGCGGCGGAGCTCGCCGCCCGCAGCTTGCAGCTGGCTGAGGCGACGGTGCAGGGATCGCCTGCATGGGAACCGCAACAACGAAGCCATGGGCAGCCAGCTACAGCACGTCATCGACGTGGAGAGGGGGTGTTGTTGCGCGCAGGAGTGGATCAGCCCTGAGCTGGGCAAACGGTGATTAAGGAGCACTGGGAAGCCAGCCAGGGAAGAGCGCCCGCTCGCCAGACCGAAAGACGCCCAAGAAGCCCCGCGATTCCAAAGGCGCTGGTGCCGACAACGCCGACGGCGGCTACATGGGCATCGCCGTCGCCGCCCAGCCCGCCTTCGAGCCCGCCCGTCAGCGGGAAATGTCTCCCCTTGCATTTCGACGGTTGCGAGCTGCGTGCGCCCGCTGGGCGCGAGGTCCGCAGCACGGCTCGCTGTCGGCGCGTGGCTGAACGCATTTGGAATGGGCGGGCAACGCCACCCGCGGCGTGAGTGATCTCTATCGCTGTTCGGCAGTTTTGACGGGCCCAGGTCCATCCGTCGATCGCCCGCCCGACGTTGGCCCTCCGGGCGCTTCCTTTTCCTCGCCTGTTTCAGCCCCCAGCTCGCGTCGGGCCCTGGCTCTGGCCCGCGTCGCCGGTCAGCGCGCCCGGGT